GAAAACATATATATATATATATATATATATATACACACACACACACACACACACACCCTATAATTCTATGAAAAAGTATTTACCCCATTTTAGATTTTCTGAATTTGTTTGTAAAAAAAAGTATTATTAGATCCTCCTGATAATATAAAAGGAGCTGGATCTACAAATAACACCAGCTTTAGTGCTTGTTTCATAAAGTCATCCAATGTGTTTGTTTAGCCACTCCTGTAGTAAAAGGAACCAATGATGACCCACTGACCAGCATGTTCCAGCATGTTTCTTTTCATTCATAGACAGCCAGACTGCAAATCCCATTGGTTCTAATACTAGATATAATACATAGTTGTCCTCATTAGCAGTCATTAATCTTCTCTACTCTGAATTCCCTTGCTTTTAAAACTGTCCAAATTGGTGATTATCAGCAAATCTTCTGACAACCAATTCTACATTAGCACTTATCCTCTTATCTGATCATTCAGCTTCATTGTAATAAGAGAAAATTCTTTGTTCTCACAGCACACAAATTTCTATTTAACTCAATTGTGCCTTTATATATTTGAATTTCTGTAATCTAATGAAACCTAAACACCATAGTAAATTATTCTATTTACTCAATTTCTTTTATTCTTTTCTACAATTTATTTCATTCTGCAGTATTTTTTAGATGTGTGATGACTAAAGTTGTGTATAAAACTGCATTCCAAATGTGCTTTATAATGTTGATGAAATGTTACAAGCAGTTCTCACAACCACAATTGAGTTCCAAATTTCTGTTGCTAAGTGAAATGTTTGTTAAAGTGAATTTTGTCCCATTTTATGTGCCACAGATGTTAAGTGAATCATTGCAGTTGTTAAGTTAGTAACACTGTTGTTAAATGAATCTGGCTTTCCCATTGACTTTGCTTGTAAGAAGGTTACAAAAGGGGATCACATTAGCCTGGGACACTGCAACTGTCATAAATATGAATCAGTTGCCAAGCATTTGAATTTTGATCACATGTGACTATGGAGATGCTGCAACGGTCATTAAGTGTGAAAAACATACACATTTTTTTCAGTGCCGTTATAACTTTGAACGGTCACTAAACAAACTGTTGTACATTGAGGACTACCTGTATTCCTTTATAATGAATCTCAGGATGCCTTTTTCATAATGGTCACAAACTGGGTCAATATTTTTAATTGAAGTATTCAACTCTGCAGGAAAATTTTTGGAAGTAGGAAATATTTTCTTATCATATGTCGCTTTATAAATTGAACTTTATATATTGTCACCCTAATTCCAGCTTGTTTCTGAACAACTTAAAACAACAGAGACAATTAAAAACACATTCCTATTTAACTATTATTCCCCTTTATACTAACCTGTCCACTTCATCTCGAGCAACAATGTCTCCTTTTTTTAAGGCTTTAATAGCAAACATTTCATTAGTATTTTTATACTCAGCCAATAGGACCTGAAATACAAAACAGTGTTTTTATTGTTTATAAAATATTATTGGTTTAATGTTTCCTTTAGATTTATAATCATTTTTAAGTGGACACAAATTCACACACAGATTCTCTAAACATACTAAAATCAAGTGAGCCTCAAGTATAGCTATGCAGATACAGAAGTAAGTATGTCAAATACACAAAATCGTAATTTCACAGGTACCTTTCCAAAATGTCCTCTACCAAGAACAGCACAACATCGGAAATCTTGTAAACTAAACTGAAATCTCTGTTGTATTCTGAAATGCACAAATTTAAAAAAAAAATGAGAACCCAACCCTCCTTGAAATAATAAAGCAAAGCAGTTTGCATTCTCTGGGAAGGCTCCCATCAATGCATCTGCAAAGCACATTTTTTGCACAGCCTTATTCAGCATGAAGTCATATATAGTCATATAAAAATAACACAACATCTTACCTTCTATCTTCAGGTACTTGTTTATACTCAGTGTCAGAATTTGAAATCTGAGTCTCACAAATAATTTCTGGTTGAAATTTTGGAACAAAATTATTTTTGTCATTCTCAAAATCAAATGTTTCCACATCCTGTGAAAATTTGAGAAACAAATAAAAAAGAAAGAAGATTCAAAAATATACCAGAAGTATGCTTAATTTAAGAAACTAGTAGTAGTTTTCAGAGCCATAATTTGAAAAAATCATCTATTAAAAACACTTTTGCTACATTTCTACACTTCTATAAAACTTAGAAAGTTAACAAGACCCTGAAACAGGAAAAGTTAAAGGCAATCTAGAAAGCCCAAATTTCCCAAACATACATACATACATCTATATCCATATCTATATCAAATCTATATCTATCTCTTATTCACGTGCAAGGAAGAAAAACTATGAAGTATTTCTCCATTAGGAAAGGTTCAATTTATAGCCATATATTGAAAGAACATTACTAGCTATGAATGACTGGGTATGTTGTTCTTTATAAGCCTCCTTTAGGCCACCTTTAAAAATACTATGCACACACTTATGGGAGACTAGACTGTCTATCTTTCCATATCTGCACCACCACAAAAATATGCACCCAAACATCTGAGTGCTGCTCCCCAAATTTTGGAGCATTCTTCCAAGCATATATGACCCCCAAATATGGCTGGCATCTATTTTTATGTGACTAGATTTTAAAGGGTCTTCATTATGAAGTGAATACACACACACTACAAATTTAATGAAGCAACCAACTAAATTATGAGGGAAGGAAACAGTGCAAAAGCAATTATTTAAGCAGTCATTTAAAGGAAACAACAGCTTCATGATTACATGTTTAAAATACCAAACCCATAAATTTATTTATATTCTTCCTTTTTCTTTGAGAGCTCAGTGTGGCTTACTTAAAGACCTCTACTAATTTCATCCTCTCTATACCAAACCGATGAAATAGGTTTGGCAGAGAGAAAATGATCAGCTTTTGTGCAAATTACAAAGAGCTCCTCAGAGCTGTCCTGAAAGGGAAATATAGGAAAACCCCATATGAAACCCAATATTGCCTTATGATATGGGTGCCACAGAAACAACAGCTTAGGGTATTAATCATGAGTTGATTACACCTTTTTTATTTAAATTTTTGGGGCATTCTGATAGCCCTTATCTGATAAATAAGAAACATAAATTTACTTCTCTAAAATAAAATTCTGCGTTATATGTAAAATTTACCCACAATTGGTTGCTTAGAGTTCCTGTTGTTGAGGGACAGCTTTGTGTTGTTCATTTCATTTATTGTATCAATGACTGAAATTAATTTCTGTCTGTCTGAGTTCAATGGACAACAGCAAGGGTCTTGAGCATGGAGCTCACCAGTCTTCATCCAACATCCCGCCCGCTAAACACATTGCTCAAAATCACCACAGAAAGAACATTCATCCATCATATTCATTTTAAGGTGGCATTTTTAAAAATCACATAGTAAATTAAACATTTTTAAAACAACAATGGAAACAATTTACTGAACTTATAAGCTGCCCAGTTCTCAACAACTCTGGGCACCTCACAACAATCAAGCAAAGAAACTGCAATAGAATTCTAAATGAGGAGCCTTGCCTGAGTGGGGATAGGTGGAGACTTTGGTTCAGGTGAAGGTTCACTGATTTCTCCAAGAGAAGATAGACGTGGAGGACAGACCGGTTCAGAGTCAAGTTCAAACACCAATTTACCTACAGGGGAATCACTTGAAAAAAAAAAAAAAAAGTTCACCGTAAGCCTGTTGGCCATATGAGCAGAATTCTGCACGATAATTTAATTTAAAAAATAAATAAATTCTAGTGATAAGCATCTAGTTCTTTTTATGCTGCAAATGTTTCGCAGAAATTTTAACATGTTAATTTGTCCATTATAGCCATTCACTTACCTAGTTGGTGAGCCTAATCCAGAAATGTGAGCATCACCTACTGATACTGTAGCAGGCACAGAGGCTTGAGGGCTGAAGGTCCCAGTATGATTTACTGTTGGAATAGCTCTTCTCACCAACCTTCCCCAAGTGGCAATATTAATATTCATTTGCGGAGCTCTGAGAAATGTTTTGCCTGTGGATAAAGAAAACAAAGCCTAAGTAATTTCTTTATTTATCACCAAAAGCTATAACTAAATGAGAATTCATATATTCATTAGTTTATTACTAGTGATGGATAAGCTGTGCATGTTGTATTTCCTATTTTTTTTCTTTCTTATTAAAGTCTTGTTGACAAATTATGAAGAATTATCTTTAATGAAATGTTGACATAAGCATCAATTTTTATTAATTCTAGGACCAAGTGCTAAAGCTATAAAACAAACCCCCTCACCTTGTTGCTTGGAGAAAATTTTCTTTTGTCTCTGAAGTTTTGGTCTTCTTTCAATAACAGGATTAAAAAATGTAACCTGCAATTCAGGCAATAGGTATTAGAATTCAGACTAATACTTTTTGGAAACAGGACTTCACAAGGCTTAAAATGTTTACTAAAAGTATTTGCCCTTACCTCTGCAAACAAAGTACCCTGAGGTTCAAGATAGAGACACATTCCATGTCGTTGATTATCCAAGAAGTCTTCTAACCTCAGAAATTTCACAGCACACAAAGATCTCCAATCACGCCAATAAACAGAAATCTCTAACTCACGTGACTGGAGAACAATAAGAAAAAAACCCAGGCTAAGTTTTTATATTTACTAGATTTGAGCAGACCTAGCTGGAAATATTCTTACACCAGAATCACCCTACCTTAGGTACAGATGACTTTAACAATGGAAGAAAGCATTTTTTTTTTCTGCCCACAGAATTAATTCATGTATTTACCTGCCACTTCCAAGCTAGTGCAGTACTGAATAAACTGGCTCAGATGTTATATCCATAAAAGGAATGGCCAGCAATATGATAAAAAATAATTCTGTAACGCTGCTACAAATTTTAAGGAGAATCATTGGAGACTAGAGAGGAATCTTCTTCTGTTTCCATGTATTGAATCAGTCATAATTAAGATGTAAAGGATACTATTTCTGCAATTCTCAAAATATTTAAGGGTCTTTACAAACACTAAAAAAAAAGCTTAATCCTGTAAAAACTGGGTGGCATTTGGAAGACTAGAAAATAATAATTTATGATCTGCAGCCCTATTGCTGGATAAAGGTAAACTATTGCGTATTAATTCTAAAAGCAAGAGTTTATCGTACAGTGAAGACTAATAATGTGTGTAGGCGCACTAAAAAAGATGCAAGGATAGAGGCACCTTCATTTCAGTTTGCTGCTTTTCCAATTCTTCTACCTCCCAAACCCTTCCCATCCCAAATACTGTACCCCATTATGTAATATGTAGAGACATTTCAATGGGCCTCTTTATATACAGATCATATTATGTGTCAAACTGATGAAAAGGGCTTTGAATGTTCAACACAGCTGCTAAACTCAGATACCTTATATATCAAGGATGTAAAACTTGCGTCATCGCGGCAGTGTCACATGACGTATTGGGACTTTTTCCCCCTTCGCTAAACTGGGCGGGCTGGGGCTAGCATGTGACGCATACGGCCCGTGGGCCGCGAGTTTGACATCCCTACTGTATATGCATTTGGAGGAGATTTAAGTATATATGAGCAAATCTAAAAACCACATAGAGAAGAACTTTTGTAAACATGCCAATTGTCAGTTGCCTTTCACTGTCTTTACACTGACTGGCTGGCAGGCTTTGAAAGTAGTAAATTGGCAGTGCAAGAGGTTGTTTTTTTTTTTAGGAAGGTTTGATTGGCTAGATATGAAACATTATTTTCACAGTCAAAAAGCTATCTTTTTGACTTGGTTTCAGGGAATTTATTTCCTGACTTCATCAAATAAAGGTTTTTTTAAAAAAATCTGTATATACAAAAAACATACTCAGTATTAAAAAAAAACCCAGTACAAACAGGTCATTGAAATTTCTTGTGAAATGCTGCCCAACTTATGATCTACATTTATAATATTTTTACTTCTTTCCACGAACAAATTGTTTCAACAGTTACAGCTGATTTACAACAGTACATACAATTAGTTAAGACGTCCCTCAAACCCCCTATACATTTTCCTACGTGACTTTACCTAATATCACAAGAAGCTAAGGACTTATAAATGATTTGTTGCAAATGCTATGAGCACACCGATGCAGAATCTTAAAGATGTATGACTGGAATGCACTTCTGCTCATGTAAGTACCATCTCATATTTTCATCCTTGTTTCAGAGAGAGGGAAGGCTGGAATGCTCTATTCTGTTCAGGAAAGGAAGCTACATTCCAAGTCAGAATTTCTCTCTAGGCATAAGAAGCAAATTACTCATCTAGAAATCATCCTAAGCATATTAAAGAGATCCTTACTCTGTCTAGTTCCAGTGTAAATTTCTGGTCCCAGGACTGATTGGAAATAGGCTTCCAGCTAGTTTGATCAACAACAGTGTTATCCAATTTCAAAACAGCACAGATTTCATCTGCAAAGCAAATTAAGTAAATTCAGTTTAGAATGCTAAGTTCACCTTCCAAAAACAGTAACAGAAGCAGCTCTGACAATCAGTAATAATTTAAAATCAGTTACAATATGTATACAAATATAAGTAAAGCACAAAATTCTACTTAAGTTTGAGAGTAATTACAATCTTTGTTTAGGTTAGCCTACAACAATAATGGTGGACAAAAATTATCAGTGTGAATGTTCAGTCATTGTGTGCAAAGCTCAAATGCTTTCCAAATTATGGCACTGCATTTTCCCCCTTCTCTCACTAGAAGAAACCACAACTCATTTCCTTTTTCTCTCAACCTTTCTTAGAAAGAAAGATAAAATGTTTTCTCATATACAGATAGTCCTCCACTTACAGTCGACCATTTGTTCAGCAACCATCTGAAGTTATGCCAGTGCTGAAAAATGGATTTATGAGCCATGCTTGAAATTGTAGCTATTGCAATGCTCCCAGAGGTGAACAAAATCTGGGTGCTTTGAAGGCCACTAAGAACTCATGACTGCAAGGGTGCTCCAAATCCTCTCACCTGCCTACCTTCCCCCATCTCTGCCCTTTGGGCTCCCTGCACCTTGCCTTGTGGGTCAGCAAGCAACCCCCGAGCCAGGGGCATTGTAACTTCTATCTGTCTCCTTTCCCTACTCATAAAGATCAGTTCCAGATCAGGATTAGAAAGTGATCAGGAAGGGAAGGAAATGGAGGATGGCTAGAGATTAACCTGCCCCTTGCAAGCAAATATGAGGCCAGGTGGATTTTGGCAGGGCAAGAGTTGAACTCCAATATGCTTCTCTCGCCTACTGTTGCACTTGTTTTCCTGACTTCCAGATACAACCCCACACTGAATGAAGAGGCAGGCCGGAGCCAGGTGCAATGCACAGGGCAGTGAAAGTCCTTGTGAGGAGTAAGAAAAATAAAGGGATGCCAAAGTTAATTTTAAACTCATCTGATCGTAGGGTAATGGCTGAGGTGCGGTGAAGTAATTGTTTCCAGTCCAATGTTAAAGAACAGAAGGCACACATATAGGAGGTGAAAAAAAAGTTTGCTTGTCAGCTTGTGCCTTGCTGTGACTGCAGCTTTCTAGGACAGGACAAGCAGCCCCAGAGCTGTACGATTCTGGGGCTGCTTGCTGACTCATAAGGCAGGGTACAGGCAGTTAAAAGGTAGAGATGGGTGAGGGACTGTTGCAGTTGGATGCAGTCCCTTTACTGAGGCTTGGGGTGGTGAGGGACCAAATTGGAAAGGCTTGGATTGGGATGGATAATTGTTTAACAACCCATGATTCGCAGTTAACTACAACAGGGATTGCCATCATACATTATTGAAGTCATGTGATGACTCACTTTATGACTGTGACAAGTTACAATAACAATTCTGGTTCCAACTGTGGTCACGCGTCAATGACTACCTGTGTACCCTATAATTTCTACATTCACACTGTGAATGCTGGGACTCTTGGTAAGCAATGCTATATACCAGGGCATAGGTAGGAGCCCACATTATTATCCGCCTTGCAATATTATGATTATGAGTGAAAAAAGAAGACAGCAGAGAGGGAGTTGCAAAAAAATCATTTGGATTTTATGCTATTAATTTCATCAATCATGGAGGGTTCAATCAATACGTATTTTGAATCAACAGGGAAATATAATTCATTTTCTCATTCATTACATTTTAAAATTCAATTTTAGCTCAACCGTTCCAATATATCTGAGGCAGCCTATGCTTTATTAGTGCAATATCCCAATCACAGGCTCCCAACAGAAAAGAGAACCTTCCACCTTTCAGACATCATCAAATTAACGATGTACAAAACATTCTACTTTGTGAACAAAATATTCTGGTAAAAACTACATTGTATAGAGGGCCAGATTACACCTAAAACATTATCAACTACTTTATATTCCAGAAACATTACTTCCACAGAACTGCCAGCCCAGGAGATCAAATAGACATGCTTCAGAGGAATAGATTCTGTGGTTTCCTGGAATATTTTGCACATCACTACAACTCCAGCAGGCATGGCTAACTGTAGGGAGGACATCACCCAACCTAGTTTTTTTAAAAATGAAGATTCTTATTACTGTTAGTAATTCTTGAAAAAGCACTTTTTGGATTATATAATAAAAAAAAATCATGGACTGACAGAAAAAAATGTTCAAGACATCAGTCTGCATAAACATACTAGTGCTTTGGATATGAAAACCTAAGGCCACAGGAGGTGGAAACAGGCTGGCTACACTTCTGGTGAATTAGCTACTCTGTTAGTTCCCTTTCTGGGCTCCTTGATCTGGTCTCTAGGCTGGTATTGGAGACCCCTCCTGGTCCATTTGCAAAGGCAGTGGAACAAGAAAAGGTGGGAAAATTCTCCTAAGCAAGATAAGACAAAGTCTGCCACGGCACTTTCATTTTTGTTTAATGGAAGATTGGTTTTCAGTCCAAGATGGAGCTGGGAAGGAAAAAGCCCTCCTACTTTTTTTAGAAGGAAAACCAAAGAGTAAGGAAGAGGATTACCCTCCACTCAATGCAAACGTTTAATGTAAAATAAAGTAAAATAGCCTTTGTCTAAAATCTAGGCTAGCCCACACAATTATGGCCTTTTAGGGGGCAGTGAAGACTACATTTTGGGGAGGAAATTTGGGATTGAGTGCCAAGAAATCTAAAAGTGGATTTTACTGATTATTAATTCATTATATTTTGTGTATTATATTATTATTGGACTTAATTTATTTTACCATGGGCATTTCATAGAGATCCATGTTATTGTGAACATTCTGTAGTGTGCACCTTTATTATAATAATAATCAAGTGGTTTGACATGCCGGAGACACAAAATTCCCTAAGCCAAATATTTATTTTCCTAGAATCACTGGGCTAATGAATGAATCCAGAAAAGGGCACGGCTGCTTTAATGACTTACAGACAACCACAGCAGTTGTGCAATCGGTGCTCCTAAGTGCCTTTTTTACTTTCAAATTCAAACTACTGCACAACCTTAAAACAAAATCATAATAAAATACGATTAAACTGAGTTTATTTTTACATACAGTTATTTTTCCTAAGAGATTTCATAAAAGTGCTTCTGAAAATGAAGAAGAAAAACATTAAAAAGGTACTGAACTGGATAAATCATCTGTTTTCAGAAGGTTTCGGCAACTGCCACTTTTGCTTTTACTCGTTCGACTCATGAAAGATGATCTGGCTTCACTTGGACTCCATCCAGGTAGAGTGAAGGATGTTGCTTTTGATCTACCAGGGACATTTTCCAGGATATCTTGACAACCCATAAGCCTAACTTCCAGAGTACCTAAAATGACATCAGATTGTCTTAACTCATATAATTAGTCAAACACCAGCTTAAGCAAGTACAAGCAATTGATAATTCTGTGTGGGCAGGAATCTCAATACGGTGTAAACTTCATATTTATGAGGCAGTATAAAAGCTCTTAAATATATAAGCTTTAACTAGAAGAATGTGGGTTGAATCCAAAATTAGAATAAACCTACTGAAATCAACTGGGTTTAGCTGCTGATGCAAGTCCCAGTAATTTTAATATGCAATCATGGTGGGCTTACCTGACATGAACTTTTATGACTGTTCTGCCTAAGCTTGTGTCAACACAGCTAGTTATAGAATGCTAATAAGTATTTTTAAACTATGGTTTTTACATAATGTATTAATAGATCCATTCTAATTGTCTAACAATCTGCCTCTTGTACTATCCCCCACCCCCCAAGACAAGCCTTGCAAGGGGCAGGAAACCCTATTGGAACATAGTATCGATGTATGCTAATAGGCTTTTTTGCATCCATGTATGTATGTTATATATGTATGTTATGTATGTATTATGTATTTCTCTTAGATATTATGATTTAATGTGGATAAAACATGAAGAAAGGAAATCAATTTATAGTCTATCTTTGCATAATCTCAGTCTAAGTAATTCTATAATAATGGACAGAAATGGTAAAATGGGATTTTATATATTTAACCTATGCTGATCAGTGTATTGTTGTGTATTTGCACGCACATACACAAACAATACACAGGCACCTTCAAAGAATCAACAATTTCTGCTACAACTTTAGTTTAAAAACTAAAGTCATTTTGGGAAATATAAGCTAACAGCTGTGCTACTGCTTCTAATTTGGTTGTTTATTAAATAATTTAGTGAACAACATATTAGGATCAGAGTTTTATTCAACACCTGCTTCAAGTTAGCAAATAAAGTCTGTAGGGATATATTTAAGATCTTCGTTAAGCATACAAGATATCTTGGAATTTATTTCCTTTATGAAATGCTGCTATTACAGAAGCATGCACAGACTGTTGAGGGGAACTGTTGGGCTACAGAGTCTCAAATTTCATAACCCTCGTGCAGAGAGTTTTTCTTCTGTAATGCCTACTCTTAATTTTTTATATTTAATTACTTTAATCTAAAAACACATTAGCACAAGTAAATGAGAGATACAATGTTAAGCGCTGCTGCTGTTTAAAATTCTCTTTGTATTATTAAGTTTTAATATTTTAGGGAAAAACTTAAATTCTCATCAGAACTGAATGGCCATGAAGTTATGTCCAGATTTCATTGCAATACTTTCTAATATAAGGAATAAATGATACAAAAACTTTTAAAAAATGTTTTCGAAATTAGATGCACTAAATAAATGATTGAAATATTTTGAATCAGAATCCTTTAGGCAATAACTAGATTTGCAGATTCTAGCAACTTATACAATGCAATCCTTTATCAGATTCTGATAATAAGTTACTGTTTTACCGGCTGGATCCCATTATAAAAATATGTATAGACCATCGTGTTAATTTTTTCCCCTTCAATGATCATCTTCCTAAGCAATTTACACATACCCCACCTTTAAAAATCTGAATTTAGTCAAGCAACTGAAATGCTTGCTATGATGCAATTAATACAAACAATTTGGCCAAAAATAGCCACTGCTAATTTTCTAAGAGATAATACATATTTAAGTATGATTGTTATGTTCTTTTATATTTAAAGATATTCCCGAATGTACAAAACTGCATTGTATCTTTTAATGTAACAAATATTAGAGTTAGAAACCAAAGCACACAAAATATGTAGCTATTACTGTCACAACAAACCTGTTAATGCTGCTGGTTTGGACAGTGTACTATACTGATTTTGTGTTGATATCATACTTTGCCGTGGACTTAGTGTTGGTGATGAAACAAGTGAAAGTTCTTCTATAATAATACTGCTTTTGGGGTGATTTTTAGGGAGTTCATTTAGCCTTTGTTCTAATGAATACTTCAAGAGATCCAGCTTCTGGCTTGATTCATTAAATCTTGCTTGAGCCTTATTCAGTTAAACAGAAAGAAAAAATCAATTAGGAAAAACTCTTTTAACATGCTTACATTCAAATTTCACTTATTACATAAAAATTACCTCTGAAAGCGCTTTTCTATCAGTAACTTTTCCAGAGCCGAACAACTTCATAACATTTTTGGCTCCTTCTGCTACTGCATATTCTATCCTAAAATGATGTCGCAATTCTTCCATTCGAAGCTCAAGAGGGCTTATCACGGGCTTTGCTATACATATAAAAATAAACAAAAATTAGTACTAACTTGTACACTGAACTATTAGTATATTACACTAGCCAGCATATTGATATAAACATGAAAAAAAAAACATTTAATAGGTGTATTACAATTCACATGACCTTTCTGGGGAGAGAGGGCATTAAAGCAGGCAAGTCTGCCCTCTTTTGTATGTGTGTGCCAATGTTACATGTGCATACAAAAGAAGAGTTTGTGTTATGACTCCACATGTGTTATCTTATCCAGATTTCACCCAATCCCATGGCTTCTGCTTTATAGGTCTAATACAGATTTACTAGCCAGCCATATAAAATTAGATGGATAGACAGATAAATAAGCAAACTAAGCAGTCAAGGGATGATTCTCTAAGCTCTGTAGAGCTTAATGTGACATTCACCTACAAATTAACAAAAGTCAACCAAGAATTTTTGAATATGGATATTTTACTTGCCGACAGGTTCATGGCAGAGCAAATGCCAACTGAAACAACTTTAAAAATCTATCTTGGTGGGGGCAGACATCCACTGCATTAATTTTCTAAACTTTACAGAGTATACAAGGGGTTTCACTTACACACAAACACTTATACATCTGAACGGCAGAGTCCTCTTTACCTGCACACTCTTGAATGACTATATGAGCATAAGATAATATCTTTTGGTGTATGTGTGCATTTTTGAGTCAGTATTGATTCCTGGTGGCTGCCTGGACAATTTTCTGCAGTTTTCTTGGCAAATTTTTGGAAATGGTTTGCTACTGCCTCCTCCTTTCTAGGGCTGAGAGTAACTGGTCTGAGTTACTCATCGACCTTTGTGCCCAAAGCAGGATTAGAACTCAGTCTCACAGTTTCCACACTGGACAAACTACCTTTATTTTTCTTTTTTCTTGTTGACAACAACATATCTTCTACTTTTTCTGTCGCCATCCCCTAGCAATTGTTTATATCTAGCATAAGCTACTAACTTTTCAATTCCCTTTGTTTAACAAAAGTTCTGTCTTTGTTACTTCTCAGTTTCTATTCTTGGCCCTTTAATTACGTCTGTATTTTTAGTGATAACAATATACAATGCTATTACTTTTTCAGTAATTCACACCTGTCTTGATTTAGCTGGTTGCAACAGATGGAAATCATCTTTGACATGCAATGTACAAAAAGGATTCAGAATATTCAGAAAGCTTTTAATGAAGTTATTAGTTCATCTTTCCTAGTCTAGTTTAAACAGACTTACTCACAGCACTAACTCATCTACAAGAAACAATAGCAAGCCAGTAGCACTGTTACCCAAGCCTACTGATTGATGGATTTGTCACATGACATCTAAATGTACTGGGCATGTATACTTTTAAAGTATCACTTGGAATGGGGGAGAGTTACTTGTGGGACAGCCCAATGGTTTCTGCTTGTCCTACTAGGTCTGGCAGGCTGGGAGTATGTCAAGTCCTGTGGGGGAAATCAGGCACATTTCAGGTCCTGGAGGCCTCAGAAGATGCTTTCTGTCATGGCACTTGCCTTATGAAACAGCCTTGCCCTGGAGATATGACCTTGTCCCTGATCTTTTAGACTTGGTTTTTTCCCCCAGGTGCTTGGGCCAGGATACTAATGGAACTGGCATGGGGTGGCTACTGGAAGAATGCAAGTTTTAATGGGCTTTCAATATTGTTTCTTATTTTAAATGGCTCGTTGTTTTTACTGTATTGTAATTCTATTCTGTTCACTGTGCAGTTTCTTCTGGTAGATGGGCAGCTATATAAGTTTGTTTAGTAAATAACATAAATAAGAAACAAGAACATTTAAACCGTTAACGAGGCATGGATGGAAAGCTTATATTCGTAAGAGGGATTTCCCACCCTACCCCATAATAATCTATTTTGCATAAACTTTATCCAGAATGAGGTGCAAGGACGCAGAGAGTTCTGAGCAGTCCAGAGACATTACTACAAAAATGGGATTTAGATGACAACATTAGGGATTTGACGTAAGCCACAGGGAGTCAAAACAGGCAGGAAGTTATGATTTGCTCAAGGCGGTGTGTGCATACCCATGTTTGTCAACCAGTTGTAGGAGAAGAATACAGGAGCCTGGTCAATGAGCCTTTTCAGAATATCTTATGTTAAACTGTAGTACAGATTCCTAGACTAATGGGGCAGGAGGAAGACTGATTGAGCATTGACCTGGCCTTGTAGTATGGGGGAGTCAGGACTTGGGACTTTTTAAAAAGTCCCATGAGAGTTAGAAGATTCTAGAAACAGTGTAGTGAAAGGTTTTCTCTCTAATGTTTCACCATTATCAAAAGCCAATTCATTAGTCTGCACTGCTTGAAGAATCTGCATCCTTATAACTTCAATTTTTGTCTTGCTGTCCTGAAGCATCTGTTGAGCTGTTGCAAGCAGCTTTCTATCCTGAAAAAAGAAAGAAAAAACAGTTATGTGATATTAAAATTTGAATTCCCCAATTGGTTTCAAGTAACAACAATTCACACCATCTTTTCAGAATATGAATTCCGATATACTGAACAAGATTCAGAAATCAGTATGGTTTGAAAACTATTGTGCAATGACTACCAATACGTTTTGTTTACATTTTGGCTGTAGGCATCAAATACACCCTTGTTGTTTAATTTTTTTCATTATTTTTATTTCATCCAGAATAATTTAGAAATTAGAGCAGTAAAGCCAACAGAATAATGCAGCCTCTAAGAGACTGAACCAAAAAGAAATTATCAGGATTTTTACTACAATGCTGTTAGCATTTGTTTGCAGTATATAATACTGAAAACATTTATACAAATGAAGAAAAAAAAATCTTTAAAAACTACTCTTTCTCTTTCTGTCACACAACACATACAGTTTAAAATCTGAAGGTAATGAATGGAAAGGACTTGAAGAAGTTTTCTTCTATGTTACTAGTTCAGCAGCAAGATTAACAATGTAATTTAATATATAACTGAAAGTGTCTGGAAAGCTACAAATTGATTTTCAGAAAGGTCAGTGAACCATCAAGAAGCAATTCAAACTGCCAACTCTCTGTCACTGTAATACATTCGATTCTATTGTAGAAATCTACATTTCTGTAGTTCATGCTCTACATGCCAAAACTGAATTCCTATTTATGATTGCTGATAAACACCATTCCATGGTTTGGTGCAGAAACAATATTTCCAAATATGATTCACTGATAATGTTATCAGGGCACATTACTGGAGAATGTGGAAATTGTATCATAATCCCAGATGATCTAGGGCTAGCACATCCTGTCAAAAGAAGCAGAAATTCCCCTTGGTATGAATAGATACCAACAAAATTTATGATTATCTCAGAAATTAACTTTTAACCGTAGCATATAATGATTTCAACAAACTCCCCAAACCATCATTCTGTAATATCAGATATTCAAAATGTAACAATCTCAACAGATTGTTACAAACATGAAAATTAAATAGTGTATTACTGAATTCAAAAATGAAATATCTGTAATTAGCAACAGGATAGAAAATTATCCATTACTATGGTATGCATCTATTTATATGGTCTCTCTTGGCGGTGAACTTTTAAATCCCTCATCTGAAAACCTGATTAACTGTGTGAGCTGATAAGTCTTACCTTTGATGGACCATTAGAATACATTTGAATCATATTTTCTGCTCCTTGCTTTACTTTCAATTCTATATTTAACTGTTTCTTTAAGGCAATTAATCTGTTGTTAGTAGGAAAGCGAGGATCACTATTAGGTGTATCTGGAGTTCTGGGACAATCTGTAAATTAGAAACAAATGCCCATCATCATTTTTTTCTAAATAATACTCCGAAATAAAATAAATGAAAGTTTGTATCAGTCAAATTATCAACTTTACAGTAACATTTAGGCTGTTAGTATCTTTGTCTAATACTGCTTGCTGTTCATATTTTCTATCTGGTGTACTCACTTTCCATTTCTCAAATGAGGGCTATTTTGTCCAAACAATTGTTCATGTAAAAAACTAAGGCAGTACAACAATGGTTCTGTGAAACAATTTCTTATTTTGGTGACATAAAACAGCCATTCTACAAAACTGTTCCTAAACAATTGAAATATCCATAAAAAAATCCCCACCAGTAATAATTTGGCTACCAAAGGTATTTCAACTAAAACCTTACAATAAAATTCAAACACAATAAATAACAGTTAAGTGAAGTTTTGATCACACATATCCTTGTTAACGGAAACACACAAAAAGATGAAGCCACACGATTGTCTCCACTGTACTAGTGGAATTACTGAGGATCCCAACAGTATTGTTGCAAAATGTTTTATTTTGCAACAAGTTAATTTTCTATTCATTTCTTTAAAATTACTTAAAATATTTATTTTAAAAAACATATGGTACAGGAAGTTTACTAGATAGCAAATGATATATTGAAGGTATATAAGTTCCCATTGGCTTAATATTGCTACCTCCTGGCCTAAGAAGGAAGCACTGATTACTTAAAGGGGAAACAATTTTACTTTAATCAATCATTCATTGAAATTTTCATTAACACATTCACAGCATATTGCTCTTGATTATAAGTAGCTTTGAAGAACTTATTTTAAGAAATCAAAAGCAGTTCTAGTTATGATTTTACAAATTATAATGCAGTTCTTTTACAAGGTACCATTGTTAGTGAATTACTATTAATTATGTTTAGTAATTAATGAGCGTTCACCATTCTGGGAGCACCTCCAATGTCTGCATATACAGTCAGTTCTCATTATTCATGGAAGTTATGCTCTATAAAGTTGAGGTAAACACTGAATTAGCAAATACTAAAAATCTCAGTTTGGCACATGCACTCAAATTCTTAAGACTCGTGTGACTGCAAAGGATCATGAAAACACTGCTATTATTTTGGTTACAAATATATTTTATCAAGTAGGTGGATTTGCAAATGTGGAATAACAAGGCCAATTAAATTACTACTTACAGACAGAACTTCTAGATATATATTTAAATACTCACGTCACTGTGTTGGCACCTGAAAGTGTTGTAAAGTTATTTTGAAATTATGTTATGGAGTGGAAAGCACTGCAGTTTGTTGTCCATAAAAAATATACCAAAACATAAGCACTTCTGTTTTTATTATGTTTACACAGTTAACAGGGCCTTAGTTAAATATTCCTTCTGAGGCCTTAGGATAAAAGCTCACAGACAAATCTTTGGGTAAGCTTAATTGCTGATAATTTCTCTTGACAACAGCAGTTGCTTGCAAAATTCCTTGTGTTGGGTGTTTTACCTTTTAAAAGATTTAAAGGAAGTTACAAAAACTCAGTTTAGTTTAGATATATTGGATCCTAGAAGGCAAAGTTAGTGTAAAGTTTTTCCAATTAGTAATAGGTAAGAATGGATTTTAGAAAAAATAGAAATGGAAAAAAAGGGACAAGTGAAAGAAACTAGAATTAAAGCAAAACAAGAAGTCTCAGTTTTGTATACAAAAATATTAAAGAACAGATTAACTTCCAAAAGAATGAAGAAAAAAGTTATTTTTTTAAAAAAATGTGGCAGCCGTTAGAATAGAGTGGAAAGGATGAAATCATAGGGTATTACAGAAGTGTACCAAACTATAGGAAAAGATGCTTTGTGAAATGAAGGGAAGGAGGCTCTGGATGAGGAAGAAAAAATAAATAAAATAGTGTAATTGCTGCACATCCCCCATGCCAAAGATTTATCAAAAGGTAGATGTGTGTGTGTGTTGGGGGCGGGGGGGGGAGGAAAATGGTTGCAAAGATAGTAGTCAAAGGCAGCAAGGAAAGATTAAACACACAGACACAATTTACTTATATTAATTACATATACGCATTCAGTATATTACAATTCAGTAATGAAAAAATAGGAAAATAAATATAAATAAAACTTTGGAAACTTGTCTATATGTCCTTGAAGTACAAAAATTAAATAGAACACAAAGCCTCAAGTTAGAAAGCAAACTAGAATATTTTTAGATGATAATTATCAGATATCCAATTGCAATATACATAGCTACTCTGCTATAGTGCTTAAAGACCCTGGGACATAAAGCAAAGACTGTGACTTCTAGATCTCCTTTAGGCACAGGGCTTTCTGCGTGACTGAGCCAGTCATTCTCTCATAGCCCTGACAAGAAGGTAAAAGGCAAGCCACTTCTGAAACATGTTGCCCAAAAGACTGCATGACCTTATTCATGGTACAAGCCCTGTCGGTGCAGTGGTTAGAATGCAGGACTGCAGGCTAACTCACTTGCTCACTCCAGTTCGATTCTGACCGGGTCAAGGTTGACTCCGGCCTTCCATCCTTCTGAGGTCAATAAAAGGAGGACTCAGATTGTTGAGGGAAATACGTTGACTCTGTAAACCGCTTAGAGAGGGCTGTAAAGCACTCTAAAGCGGTATGTAAGTCTGTGCTGTTACTATTGATACCAAGACTGATTTGAAGGTAAAATAACTGGAAGTTAACAAGCTCAGCTGTGACCTTAATTAGTTGATTAAAGTCCTCCCACCAGCTGGCAATGCTGCCTGACACTGACAAAACCCTAACTAATTTCACACAGAAGGCTTTTTTTAATCTCCTAAAGGGCTTGCAGACATAAGCCCCCAATAGGCAAACAGCCAATGCCAGGGTATTCCTTTCTATGTGTATTCACCATTGTGTACCTGCTTACTCTCTTGGAATCCATTCTTTTCCAATAAACTACAAACATCAATTCTCTTCTTGTTAATTACCCTAATGCCAGGGTGGCCATTCCAAAGGGCAGGAGTGGGGGGTTGGGGGGGGGGAAAGGCTATAAGATTTGCCCCTTTTCCCCGCTCCTTCGTGAGTTGAGTTCCAGAAATCTTTCCTGTCATTTGGGCTTATCTGACTGTTTGAGGGCTTATCCTTCTGTAAAGCAAAGGAAAACTGAAGTAAAATTGTAAGCATAGTTGTGATCATGTGATTTTTCACTTAGTGATCGCTTCACTTAATAACTGAATTGCCAATCCCAATCCCAGTCACTAAATGAATACCTATCTAGAACACTGAGTAGAGATTTGATTTGATTTGACTTATATTCTGCCAAAGCAATAGACTCATTGCAGTTTACAAAACAATTAACAATATCTATCTAGCAGTTTACAAAACATTGACAATATGTATCTGTGTTGGTGCAGCGGTTAGAATGAAGTATTGCAGGCCAAAATTGCTCACATTGCCAGAAGTTCAATTCCCTCAATCCTGACAGGCTCAAGGTTGACTCAGCTTTCCATCCTTCCGAGGTCAATAAAATGAGGACCCAGATTTTGGGGGCAATATGCTGACTCTGTAAACCATTTAGAGAGGGCTGTAAAGCACTGTAAGGCGGTGTAATTACCCGGGGCATGGCACAAATGCAACACAGTCAAATAAGCAAGAAGTGTCCCTTTAATACCTCTATCTTTGCCCCCAATGTCCAGGTTACCTTTGTCTGGAGAAAAAACTCTCCCCAAAACAGCCTTTAAACTGGAGGAAATTCAGTCCAAAAACAAAGTACATACAAACTGTAAATAAAAATCCACACAAACCACACTGCAATAATTAACTGGACAGGGCAGGAGAAGGAATTGCACACTTGAAAGCCCAGCAAAACACACACAATTGGGAAGATGCCAGGAACCCAGATAAGCCTCCATGATACCAGATAAATTCACGATTTACTCCCAACAACTTTGCTGTGCGCAGCTTCTCTTTTTAAACACTGTGTTCCCAACTGTAGCTAATGAAGGGAATCAGGGTCCTTTCCTCTCCCGTAAGCCATGCAACTCATGTTGTTCCCTTCTCCATTCTTCCCTGCATGCTCCAGGATGAAGAGTGGGAGGGCCTGGGTCTTCCTCTGAATTCCCTCTCCCTTGCGCTACCTCTCCCCTGCTCTGCCTAGTCGGCCTTTGCCCTTCCCTAGTTTCTTCCACAGCCAACGGAGCCACACTCCCACTCCCTGTCAGCTGCTCGGACTCCCCCTCCGAATCAGATTCTGATGGGGCATGACAGGCGGTATATAAGTCTAAGTGCTATTGCTATTACTATCCATATTTTATTTTAAATATAAAATGAATCAATAATTAAAGTACTAGGAACAAACATATGCAATAGCAACAATTAAGTCAATATAAATAATTCAAAATGAAATATATTAAATATGGAATTAACTTACTGTTCCAGTGCCGCTTCATCAAGAGACAACACTAGATCTGAACAAAATTTTACATGAGCAAAAAGTAAGTATCTTGTGCTTGGTTCAGTTTTAAGGTGTTTCTTCATTGCAACATTTGATCACAATAATCTCTTCTGACCTTACCCATGTGGGATCTAGGTCAGAAAATTTCAGCCTGCCCCTCAGGCAAACACTAGTGTCTTCCACCTCCAAAATGTATATAATTCACTATAACAAGAGCTACTGTGGATACAATTAGGGCAAAAACAAATCCTCCTTGTTATCCTTACTACAATGGTATTGTCTTGAGTGTAATCTTTTACCAGCATCCGGTCCAATTCACCCCTGACTTTCCTCCACTGGAACTTTTCAGTAAACACATTAAAAAGTAGGCTTAGAGGCCAATCTTGTCAAATACTCTGGGCTTGTGTAAATTCTAGAGATCCCCCTACACAGGCTTGAGGCAGACTTCTTAGCTGATCAACTCACTGTACAGAAGCATTCTGGGGGTAACAAATCTCAGAGCAATCATGGGTTGATCTGACTATGCGAAAGGACTCATTCTTCTACCA